GACTGGGTTTATTCATTTGTTTTCAAGACAGACTAATAGACAGGGAGAGCCAGTCCTCTCTGCTGATTGACTACCCAGATGGCTACAAGGGCCAGCGCCAGCCTTCCATTCCACAAAAATTAAGTAGATTTTGGGCTTATTGTGATACCCTAGTGACTGAGGTCCTCACTTTGCATACCTGGGATCCCATATGGGTGCGGGTTCTCATCCCGGCAGCTCCACTTCCCACTTAGCCCACTTCAACTTAGCTCCAGCCATTGGGGCCATTTCAGGAGTGGACCAGTGATGGAAGATCCTTCTCTCTGTCTCTTTTGTAACTTTAGCTTTCAATTTTTAAAAAAGGTTACCTTATTTATAATCTGGGTATACCTTCACAATATAAATATTTTAAATGAGAGCCAGACTTTCTATAAAAAATTACCTGTAAAAGAGCATCGCCAGGATTGGCACTCAAGACCAGTGCTGTCCAGTTGAAGTTAGGCTATCAATTCTGACTATGCACCGCAAACTCCAAAGAAATGGCGATTATTTCAGCATCGCAGTTGGCAGCCGCTGGTTTGGTGTATGACCCCTCCAGCTGATTGGTACTCATTTTCGGGGTCTTCTCTGGGTGCCGCCTGCACAGTACAGATTCCACAGTGTGGACCTGAGCACTACCCTATCTCCTAGCTCATTTTAGGGGAAATGGGAATAGGTTAGGGAATGCTCTTTTTTTTTTTTTTAGTTATTTTTATTGGAAAGTCAGATATACAGAGAGGAGGAGACAGAGAGGAAGATCTCCCGTCCAATGGCTCACTCCCCAAGTGATCGCAATGGCCAGAGCTGCGCGGATCCAAAGCCAGGAGTCAGGAGCCTCTTCCAGGTCTCCCACACGGGTGCAGGGTCCCAAAGCTTTGGGCCGTCCTCCACTGCTTTCCCAGGCCACAGGCAGGGAGCTGGATGGGAAGTGGGGCTGCCAGGATTAGAACCCGCACCCATATGGGATCCTGGCATGTTGTAGACAAGGACTTTAGCCACTAGGCTACTGTGTGGGCCTGGAAATGTTGTAAGGAAAATTTGGTATTCATTCCCCTCTGTGAACAACGGGTCCGCATTTCTCTGAGAAGTGTTTTCAACCTGCGAAGTGGAAACTTCGCTCATTTTTGCTTTGCTGGGCAGTGAGGCTCAGCATCCTGCTTTCAGCTTTGGGTTAGCCCTGAGGACCCTGATGTGGAGGTTCTCACGAGTGTGCAGGCTTGCCGTAGGAGTTCCAGAGCAGATGGACTGGGTCCCTAGCTGTGCAGTGATGGGTGGCTCTAGGAGTCCATACTTTCTGTTCCAGGAACCCTTCTTTCTGGGAGCCAAATCTGCTTTCCTGAAGAAAGGGTAAAGACAGTGAGGATGCTGGCCACCTGCCCGACAGCTTGTTACCAGGTATGCAGAAACAGTGCCCTTCAACAGGAGACATCCCTGCCCGCACCAGGCAGCCGCACTTCTCCCCGGCAGCTGTGTCTCCTGGTGGTCCGACCTCCTCATTCTAGTGACCACAATGGAGCTGTGCGGTGCCTGTGTGCTGAGGCTGCTTTGTGCTGTGTGATCGTTTAGGACCCTGTGACCTTCGAAGACGTGGCTTTGAACTTCACCCAGGATGAGTGGGTTCTACTGGATCAGACTCAGAGAAGCCTCTACCGAGAGGTGATGCTGGACAACTTCGAGAACCTGGCCTCAGTGGGTGAGACGGCTGTGTCCTCCGGTCCTTGTTAGGGAAGGGTGTGTGTCAGAAGCAGCAGATCAGGCCTCAGATACGCGGTACACACGTCCCAAGTGGCATCTTCTTTTCTTTAAGGATTTATTTTATTTCCATTACAAAGTTAGATATAAAGAGAGGAGGAGAGACAGAGAGGAAGATCTTCTATCCAATGATTCACTCACCAAGTAGCCGCAACGGCCAGTGCTGCATTGATCCGGAGCCATGAGCCAGGAGCCTCTTCCGGGTCTCCCACCCGATGCAGGGTCCCAAGGCCGTGGGCCATCTTCCATTGCTTTCCCAGGACACAAGCAGGGAGATGGATGGGAAGTGGAGCTGCCAGGATTAGAACCAGGTCCCATATGGGATCCTGGCACGTTCAAGGTGAGGACTTTAGCTGCTAGGCCACAGCGCCGGGCCCATTTTTCTTTCTTTTTTTAAAAAAAAAGATTTATTTATGTTTGTTAATAAAAACTAAATAAATAACGTCTAATGTTCTCAATCGCAAAATGTGGTCTAAGATCACCCCAATACATCACCCTATTAGCAGTGAAGACACCAGTCTACCCTGGTCATACTGAATCAAAAGCACGTGTGTTAAGGTGTCTGGATAAATTTGATTATCTATAACATATGAGAGTCACTGCTGTCGGCTGTCCCCCAGAGAAGCAGTTTTTTCTTTGTTTCACTTGATTTCCTGTTTGATTCACAGTGTTAGTGTGAGCATTCATTGGTGGTTCAGCCATCAGAGGTGACTAAACTTTGTGAAGCAAAGAAGGGTTGAGTATTTGCATGCTCAGGCCTTTCACAGTAATCTCACTTCTTTCACCAGAACACTGTCCCTAACTTAGACTGTGTAAGACCTCTTGTGTGCGCATCTGCCACTAATGTTCTCTTCTCTCACGTCAAGGACACCTGCCAAACAAACCTGCTGTGATCTCCTGGCTAGAACGGGAGGACCTGCAGACAGCACCGAGGGGATGCCGCCGAGGTGAGTGCCGGCAGGGGCAGGAGACGTTCAGGATGTTGGGCCGCGTGCTGAGCATGCGTTTTAAGGAGTTCTCTCAGAAACAGTCCAGCCACGTGTCAGAAGACACCTTCAGAGAATATTCCTTTGTTTCCTGTGGTCCCACAGAACAAATTTATCTCATTCTTTTTAAGCTTATCATCTTATTCTATGTTCTTTGTCCAGCTCTTTCCCTCCTTGTTCCTGGTCAAATTCTTCTGTTCTCAGAGGACCAATGCACAATCAACTGCCTACAAGTTTGGATCCACATACTTATCAGTGCGAAGTGTGACCTAGTCAGAATGGTTAATCCTTGTTCCTATGTTTTAATCCAGGTTTGCCTTGAAAACAAAACCCTCATTTCTTTATGCAAAACTTATTTTTCTGTTTCTATTCAGATTGGCAAGAGCAGCTTATCAGCCAAGAATCATTAGCCCAGCAGGACCTCTCGGAAGAACAAACCTCCAGTGAGATACCGATGGTAAGAGGGATGCTTGCTGTTTCCGGTTCTTGGAGAACACTTCGGATGCCATCACAGCTTTAAAGATTTACTTATTTTTCTTGGAAAGTCAGATAGATATACAGAGAGGACAGACTGGGAGGAAGATCTCCCTTGTGATGACTCACTCCTCAAGTGACTGCAATGGTTGGAGCTGAGCTGATGAGAAGCCAGGAGCCTGGAGCCTCTTCTGGGACTCTGACATGGGTGCAGGGTCCCAAGGCTTTGGGCCAAGCTCGATTGCCTTTCCAGACCACAATTAGGGAGCTGGACGGGAAGTGGAACAGCCAGGATTAGAACCAATGCCCGTATTGGATCCTGATGCATGCACGATGAGGCCTTTAGTTACTAGGCTCCTGTGTTGGGCCTAGGGATCTGGCACTGTTATCCATGATTCAATTAGAAAGGAAGCAGCATGGCAGGAACTGTGTGAATACAATGTAAAATTCAAAAATTAGGGCCCAGCCCCGTGACCTAGCAGCTAAAGTCCTCGCCTTTAATGTGCCAGGATCCCATATGGATGCAGGTTCTAGTCCCGGCAGCTCCACTTCCCACCCAGCTCCCTGCCTGTGGCCTGGGAAAGCAGTGGAGGACGGCCCAAAGCCCTGGGACCCTGCACCCGCGTGGGAGACCCATAGGAAGCTCTTGACTCCGTGCTTTGAATCGGCTCAGCTCTGGCCATTGCAGCCATTTCGGGAGTAGACGGAAGACCTCTATTTCTTTTTCTCTCTCTGTAAAATCTGCCTCTCAATAAAAATAATACGTTTTTAGATACTTACTTCCTTTAACTGGTTCACTCTCCAAGTGGCCACAATGGCCAGAACTGAGCTGACCTGAAGCCAGAAACCAGGAACATCTTCCGGGTCTCCCATGTGAGTCCAGGGTCTCAAGGCCTTGGGCCGTCCTCCACTGCTTTCCCAGGCCACAGGCAGGGAGCTGGGTGGGAAGTGGAGCAGCCGGGACATGAACTGGTGCCTGTGTGTTAACCTTGTGCTTGCAAGGTGAAGATTTAGCCACTGAGCCACCGCACCAAGCCTGGTAATTATCTTTTAAAAATCAGCACAAACAAGATTTTGGAGAGAAGTATTGTTCTTCCCAATGAGAAGAGATACTCTGAATATGATGGATTTAGTCTGTCCCAATTCTAGTTCCAAATTTGGCGTTTCAGTTCTTTTAAGTATATGTTATACAAGAGCACTCCAGGTTGTGGGAAACCTGCAGTAGCTTGTAATTCCACTTTTATTTTAAACTTTTAAGGTCCACATTTATTAACTGGGTACTGAAATTCTTAAAACATTCTATGGAAATATGCAGGAATCGATTTAAGATTAGAACAGGTTGCATACCATCCTGAAGTAGCAGTCCCCTGCTCCGCTTGAAGGGGTCTACAGGTGGAGCTGAGCTGATAAGCCAGGAGCCTGGAGCCTCTTCATATGGCCGGTGTCATACAGGGGTGCTGTTCCTCTCATGAGCTGGGTGGTATTTGTTCATCTGAAAAATCCTCTAAGCGTCATCCATGCCTTCAACAGGCAAGAAGCCACAGCAGGAGGCAGCCACTCCACGACTGGAAGCAACGAGGAGGTATATTCAGTGAACACTCATATTTTAAGACATATATGAGAACCCAAAATACACAAAACAGCTGTGACTGTCAGGAGTTTGAGAAAAACTTCCCAACTCTGCACAAGAAAAGCTGCAGTGCACGGAAACTGCTTGTGTTGGATCCGTGTGAAAGAGCCCTCGGCCAGGGTCTAAGTGTTGTTTATCAGGGAACCCGCATGCTAGGCGCACCTTTTAAATGCAGCGACTACGCAAACGCCTGCCTAAATGAGCCATGCCGTCCCCATGCGGAAGATGGCTTCTGCGAATGGGATCAGCGCGTGGGATCTTCTACCCACCCCGCCCGCGATGCCACGGTGGGTCAGAGGCCTGCCATCCAAAAGCGCTACGAGTGTGAGACGTGCGGGAAGGTCTTCAGAAATTCTTCGTGCCTTAGTAATCACGTTCGGACGCACACGGGGGAGAAACCCTACGAATGCAAAGAATGTGGCAAAGCCTTCACCACGTCATCAAGTCTAACTGAACATTTCAGGATTCACACTGGAGAGAAACCCTATAAATGTAAGGACTGTGGCAAAGCCTTCACCAAGCGCTCAGGACTCACGACACACACGCTGACACACACTGGACAGAAGCCCTACACGTGCCGGGAGTGTGGGAAAGCCTTCACTTCCTCCTCGTGCCTCACCCTGCACGTGAGGACTCACACTGGAGAGAGACCCTACGAGTGTAAGGAGTGTGGGAAAGCCTTCCACGCTTCCTCATACCTGCGGAAGCACGCTCGAATTCACACGGGAGAAAAGCCCTATGAGTGCAAGGAGTGTGGGAAGGCCTACAAAAGATGTTACCTGCTAACTGAACATTTGAAAACTCACACGGTAGAAAAACCCTTTCAGTGTAAGCTGTGCGGAAAATTCTTCCGAAGCTCTGCGTGCCGTAATAAACACATCCGCATTCACACCGGCATCAAGCCCTACAAATGTCAGTACTGTGAGAAAGCCTTCGCGGTCTCTTCGAGCCTGACTGAGCACGTGAGGACTCACACCGGGGAGAGGCCGTACGAGTGCACGGACTGCGGGAAGGCCTTCACCACGTCGTCCAGCCTCATCGTGCACAGAAGGACCCACACGGGGGAGAAGCCCTACGGGTGCAAGGAGTGCGGGAAGTCGTACAAAAGGAGTTATCTGCTAACGGAGCATCTGAAAACTCACACGGGGGAGAAGCCCTTTCAGTGCAGCCTGTGCGGGAAATCCTTCCGGAGCTCCTTGTGCCTTACCAAGCACGTCCGTGTTCACAGTGGAATAAAACCCTATAAGTGCAAAGACTGCGGGAAAGCCTTCACGGTTTCTTCAAGCCTGTCTCAGCACGTCAGGACTCACACCGGGGAGAAGCCCTATGGCTGCAAAGAATGTGGGAAGGCCTTCACCACGTCCTCAAACCTTTATCACCATGAAAGAATTCACACGAGGGAGAAACCCTACAAATGTCAGGAGTGCGGGAAGACATACAGTAGATTTTACCTACTGACGGAACATTTAATAACTCACACAGAAGGAAAAACTCTGGAATGGAAGGAAGGCTGAGCGCCCTGGAGGAGCTTCTCGTGTCTGGTAAGAATGTAGTGTGAGGAGCGGGAGGAAGGCACACAGCCCAGATGCCCGTGACGGAAGGCATGTGGGAGAAGCAGCGAGCCTCATCCTGAGGGGATGCACTGCAGGAAATACACACGCCTTTTCTGCTTAGGTCTTGTCATGGTGACAGATACTACTGATACAGGTGGGAAAGTTGTAATTTTCTTAAATACTATGATGTTTACTTGTGCTCCCTGGAGAAAACTGTTATAAAGACAATAAATGTTGGAAAGTCATTATTTGTTATTAATGTTCATTTAGTAAATACGACTCACATAAGAATAACTGAATGTTTGCAATAAAGGAATTGTGTCCTGAACCTTGTCTGACACAAATACGGCTTTCTAGGTGGTTCTGTAGGTCTGTTTTGAACCTTTGGGATCGTGTGAGTCATTCCTGAACCCGTGTGTCTCTCCTCTCGTGTCAGTCGTTCCTGGACCGGTGTGTCTCCTCTGTAGCCACACCACTCTAGTCCATTTGTTACAACTTCAGGTTGCAATCCTGCCAAAATTGGGCTGTCGGATAGATTTGATCCTAATGTAGATCCTGTGGTCCCTTTGTCACTTTCTTAGTTTCCACTTGTGGCAGCTCACATATTGTGAGTTTGAGTGTTGTTAAAAGCTCTTGTACCTCTATGTAAGTTAACTGCAAGCAGGGGCGAGTCAGGAACAGGTAATAGCTGCTAAGCATAAACTGGATTTCCTGACCGTAAGCTGACAATACAGTGACACAATACATGGGAGGAGTGCCGGAAGGCCTTGGCCTGCAGATCCACTTGACAGTTTAGTACAGCAGTCATCGCATGCTTGGACAAAGCAACAGCTCAAACTGGCATTCTCATCAAACTCATATTCCTGACATAAGTTATAAAGCAGCATTACTGACCTCACAGAATTTCAGATATTTCCATAGCAATGCCAGGTATACCAGAAAACTTGGTTATGGCCACATGTACCTGCACTGTTTACTTCCAACAGCATTTCTTTTTATTTATTATAATAAATCCTTTTATTGGAAAGGTAGATTCACATAGAGAGTCAGAAAGATCTAGATGCCGCTTTGTGTCCCGGCTGTTCCACTTCTCCAGCAGTGGAGGACAGCACAAGTTTCCAGAAGCTCCTGGCTTCAGGTCAGCTTGGCTTGGCTTAGCTCCAGCTGTTGCGGCCATTTTGGGAATGAAGCAACAGATGGGAGATCTTTGTTACTCCCCTCTGTAGATCTGTCTTTCCAATAAAATAAATAAATCTTTTTTTTTTTTTTTAATTGGAAAGGCAGATGTATAGAGAGGAGGAGACACAGAGAGGAAGATCTTCCGTCTGATGATTTCATTCACCAAGTGGCCACAACAGCTGGTGCTCCACTGATTCGAAGCCAGGAGCCTCTTCCAGGTCTCCCACCGGGTGCAGGGTTCCAAGGCCGTGGGCCGACCTCCACTGCTTTCCCAGGCCACAGCAGGGAGCTGGATGGGAAGTGGGACAGCCAGGATTAGAACCGGCGGCACCCATGGGAGATATCAGCGTGTGCAAGGCAAGGACCTTACCTGTTAGGCTACTGCGCCAGACCACTGGTATGGTGTTTAATCCTTACCTAGCACATACTGGAATCCTACACAGGCACTGGTTCGTGCCCCCACTGCTACCATCCAGACATGTTAGCAGGAAGCTGAACAGACACAAGCCAGCACTCATACGGAACGCTGGCATTGCGGGGAAGCCTTGAGATACATGCATTATAATTAACCAGCAAATGTGAGCCCCTGAGTTTGGTGAGTCACTTAAGAAAATGGATGAAAGGGCCCGGCGCGGTGGCACAGTGGTTAAGGTCCTCGCCTTGCATGCCCGGGATCCCATATGGGCGCCGGTTCTATCCCTGCAGCCCCGCTTCCCTTCCAGCTCCCTGCCTGTGGCCCGGGAAAGCAGTCGGGGACAGCCCAAAGCTTTGGGACCCTGCGCCCACGTGGGAGACCCGGAAGAGGCTCCTGGCTTCGGATCGGCATAGCATCAGCCGTTGACCTCACTTGGGGAGTGAATCATCGGACGGAAGATCTTCCTCTCTGTCTCTCCTCTCTGTATATCCGCCTTTCCAATAAAAAAATAAAAATAAATCTATAAAAAAGAAAATGGATGAAACCCGAGAAGGGGAATTGTGGGAACCCGGGCTAATTAGTCTGTTATTCTGAATTATAGGGAAAAACTCCACGGTTTTTGCGGTTGGGGTAGGCGGTATTAATCTTGGGGGTGCTGAACCCTCAATAGGATTCTTCAGCATCTCACCAAGGGAGAGGATGCCTGGATTGAAGCGAACAGCGCCCCCTGCTGGCGCCTGCAGCTGCGGCATCGCTTGCAGGCTCCCTGGCAGGAAGCAATCATCACAGCTTTGGGGGTAGTGTGAGACAAGAGGGAGGACGGTGCTTTGCTTTATCCTGTGCAGCCTCACCCACTGACTCCTGGGATGGAAGGGCAAGGTGAGTAGACTGCTCCATTCGCGCCTTTTCCCTTGCTCCTCGAGGGTGCAAACACACCCCAGAGAGAGGGGCCTGCAGGCAGTGTCCAGGAAGGTCAGGTGCTTCTGTGATCGGCCGCCTGGACCATGCCCGAGCTCATCTGCCACAGACGCAGGGGCTGCAATGCCTGAAGGCTCTCTGGGGTGCCCTCAGCTCTGCTGCCTGCTGCCATGTGCTGTTCATCAGAGGTACAAATGCTGTCTGAAGGCCCGGCACAGTGGCCTAGCACACCTTGCACACACTGGGATCCCATAAGGGTGCTGGTTCTAATCCCAGCAGCCCCACTTCCCATCCAGCTCCCTGCCTGTGGCCTGGGAAAGCAGTGGAGGACGGCCCACGGCCTTGGGACCCTGCACCTGCGTGGGAGACGCGGAAGAGGCTTCCAGCTCCTAGCTTTGGGTCATCTCTCAGTTCCAGCTGTTGTGGCCACTTGGAGAGTGAACCAGCAGATGGAGAATCTTTCTCTCTGTGTCTCCTTTCTGTAGACTTGCCTTTCCAATGAGTGAAAATTAAAAAAAGTCCTGTTGCCTCAGCTTGCCTGGACACAACCATAGCGGACCACCACACATTCTCCCAACCGCAAAGTGCACCCAGCTCAGCTTCTGTCTGGGTGGCCCTCCCCATGGGAGAGGAGGCACCTGGCTTGCAGGCCAGGGGGAGTGCAAAGTGGGGCAAACCACAAAGCTGACTTCAAAACAGCTCAGATCACAAGTAGAACGCTCATGGTCCTGCACCTGTGGCTCTCCAGTGGTTTCAACGGAAAAGGCAAGAAACAAAGAGAGCAGCCTCTGGCTGTGTGACTCCCAACGTGGTCACAGAGAGGCACCTGGGAGGGGGACCTGCCCGTCCTGGCCCCACTAGAAAAGGAGAGACAGAGAGGAAGATCTTGTGTCCATTGATTCCCCAAGCGGCCACAATGGCCGGAGCTGAGCCAATCTCCTACGCAGGTGCAGGGTCCCAAGGCTTTGGGCTGTCCTCCACTGCTTTCCCAGGCCACAAGCAGCGAGATGGATGGGAAGTAGAACCGCCAGGATTAGAACCGGCGCCCATATGGGATCCTGGCACATTCAAGGCAAGGACTTTAGCCACTAAGCCATGACGCCGGGCCCAAGATTTATTTTCCTTACAAGAGAATGAGATATTTCATCCACTGGTTCACTCCCTAAGCGGTAGTAACAGCCGGAGCTGGGCTGATCTGAAGCTGGGAGCCAGGAACTTCTAGGTCTCCTGCATGGGTGCAGGGCCCCAAGGCTTTAGGCCATTCTCTGCTGCTCTTCCAGGCCCCAAGCAGGGCGCTAAAAGGGAAGTGGAGCATCCAGGGCTCAAACAGGCACCTGTATGGGATGCTGGCACTGCAGGTGGGGGATTAGCGTGCTGTACCACCATACCAACCCCATGCTTTTATCTGTTTTAGCCATTATTGTTGTGCCAGGGTCTGCAAAATAGTAGCCACTAAAGGAACATTTGTTGAATGAATACAGTGAATGCCTTAAAAATTATTTTTCCTTTAATACCAAAACAATTCTGTGTGAAATTTAGAAAATGCAGAGTACAAAGTATAAAAAAATACAATTGAGACTGTTGATTAACTCTTTAATCATTGAATGGCAGTCCCCCTTGGCCTGTGTCCGCATCTTTGAGGACTGTGGGTTCATAATTGGCCCACGGCGCACGGTGCGTAAGCATAGCTAACACTGACACATTTCTCCGAGCCACTCCATCTCCAGCACCTCCCTCTGCCCAGCGGTCAGCTCCAGCCTTCTGCCGATGACCCCGAACATGACCCTTCCAGCAGGCCTCCTTGACGTCAGAGGCTGACTAAGAGTTCGGGCTTCTTAACACCAGCCGGAGGTAGCAATCACCTTGTCTATTTCCAGCAGAGAACGGGCCCGCCCTCTGGGAGGCTGGCTGGTGCAACACTAACTCTGGCTGTCTGTTCTGCATGGCTCCAGCTGCTAGGCCTCTTAGGAGGGTCCGAGGCTCCACCATGCAAGCTGGCCTGGGGCCCAGCGACGACGGCACAGTCACATCCACCAGTCCATGGACACTTTGGGGCAGGGCCTGACAATGACCGAACAGTGAGGCAGCCCATTACACAGCACGCGCTCTGCCTCCTGTCCTTCCCAGCCCAGTCCCTGCACCTCGAGGACTCGGAGCTTGGGCATGGTGAGGCAAGACGAGACGATCTCCTCTGGGGAGGGCATTTCTGGGGTGACGAGGGGTCCCTGTAGGCACAGGCTCTCCAGGACCGGCATCCTCTCCAGGGCCGCCAGGCCTGGCGCCGACAGGCCACCCACAGTCAGTCGGATCTTACGCACGCCACGGAGGTGGCGGCTGACGGATCGGAGGGTGCTGTCGGCCGACAGCGTGCAGCCCAGGACTTCGAGCCTCTGCAGGTAGTTGAGCTCCTGCAGACTGCTCTCCAGCCCGGTCTCGGTCACGCGGTAAGTGCCGCCCAGCACCAGGGAGCGCAGGGCCTGGAAGCGCGTCAGGCCCTGCAAGTGCTCATCGCGGAAGGCGGGCACGCGGTCCAGCACAATGCACTCCAGCTGCGGCAGCACCGTGGGATCCTGCTCCCGGAGGAGCCAGGCCATGGAGATCTCGCAGCTGTGCAGCTCCAGGGTCCGCAGGGTGCAGGGCAGGCTGGTGATGGGCACCATGGTCAGGTTGGCCACGTGCAGGCACAGGCGTGTCAGGTTGGGGCACTTCTGGCCCAGGGCCCTCAGCAGGGCCGGGGAGAGCTGGGGGGCCTGGGAGCCGGACAGCAGGTAACCGCCCATCCGCAGTGAATGGAGCCGAGATGCCATGTACCGGCGAAGGAGATGCCACAGCACCTTGGGCCGCATCTATGGGAGCCAGGGGTGACTGGGTAAAAGAGGGGTGCAGTCTCCAAGGTCCCTACCTGGCTGCAGACACGCCCCCAGCAAAAGGGTTCTCCTATACCCCTGGGTTCTATTCTCTCCCCACCAGCCCCTCCAGCTGAGCAGTTCTACTCTGTCACAGCTGGGATTTTAAACAATCCCCTGGGAAAAACTACGACCCTGGTAGATCAGGTGTGGGGCAATGTACCTGTTGCCTCTACAAAAGCTTATTTTTATTTGAGAGGCAGAGACAAACCAAGACAGCTCCCATCTGCCTGTTTACTCTCGCAGTGCCAGGTCAGGCTGCTGGTCAGGAGCCCAGGAACTCAACCGTCCAAATCTCCCACGAGGGCTGGCAGGGACCCAACGACTTGAACCGTCATTGCTCCATCCGGGGTCTGAAGCAGTAGGAAGCCGGAAACCAGAGCCAGAGACACGAGAGAAACCCAGACACCCAAAGGTGGCGTGTAGCTACCCTTGCCAGCATCGCCACTGCCAGGCCTACTTTGAATTCTGAACCTCAGGAAAACCGATGCTGAGGCCTGCATTGTGGCTTGTGGGCTTAAGCCACCATCTACGACACCAACGCCTCCTGTGGGCACCAGTTTGAGTCTCGCCTGCTCTACTTCCAATCCAGCTCCCTGCTGATGGCCTAGGGAAGCCTGGGCCCTGACACCCTTGTGGAAGGCCCAGATGGAGCCCTGCTTCCTGGCTGTGCCCGTCATCTGGGGAGGGAACCAGCAGGCAGAAGAAGGTTCCTGCATTAGCAGGAAATTGGACTCAGGAACCGAAGCTGGGCATTGAGCCTAGGCCTCAGACAGGCAGCTAGACTTCTGCTGGCCTCTGCTGCAGGCCTGCCCTTCCACGGGCTTTTTAAGGCCCCTTCGCACTGTTAGCGAGCTTCAGTGCTGAGCACACACGCTAGCTGGCCATGAAGCAGGTGCCCTGGGCAAACAGCCTGGCTCAACTCCAGCTGCAGAGCGAGATTCCAACAGGCTGACTCAGGAACCGGTCTCCCTGTGTGACGTAAATCTACAAGGACAACAGTGGTGCTGGGAGAGATGGAGAGAGCCAGCTGTATCTGTGACAATGTTGCAATGCTTTTACAAGAGCTATTCATGACTTGCGGGTTTTCTTAAACATTCATTTTTCATTACATTCTAAAAAGATAACACAAGGATGGACGCTTGGTAGAGCAGCTTGGGATGCTGGTATGTCCTTAGGCGTGCCTGGATTCCAGAGCTGGCTCCATTGTCCCAGATTCCCACTAAAGCTCACCATGGAAGGCAGCAGCTGATGGCTCAACAGGCTAATCCTCTACCTGCAGGCGCTAGCATCCCAATGAGCATTAGTTTGAGTCCTGAAGCTCCATTTCCCACCCAGCTCCCTGCCTGTGGCTTGGGGAAACAGTTATGGATGGCCCAAAGCCTTGGGACCCTGCACCCCTGTGGGAGGGAGGCCCAGAAGAAGCTCCTGGCTTCAGATCGGCTCAGTTCTGGCTGTTGTCACTTGGGGAATGACCCAGCAGATGGAAGATCTTTCTGTGTGTCCCTAAATTTGCCATTACAATAAAAATAAATCTTTTTTTAATTGACCTATTATTTTATAAATAAATCTTGGAAAAATTAAATATATTTATTTATTTTTATTGCAAAGCCAGATATACAGAGAGGAGAGACAGAGGAAAATCTTCTGTCCAATAATTCACTCCCCAAGTGAGCGCGACGGCCAGAGCTGAGTCGATCCGAAGCCAGGAGCCTCTCCTGGGTCTCCCACACAGGTGCAGGGTCCCAAGGCTTTGGGCCGTCCTCCACTGCTTTCCCAGGCCACAGGCAGGGAGCTGGATGGGAACTGGGGCTGCCAGGACACAAACCAGCACCCACATGGCATCCCGGCACACACACGGCAAGGACTCCAGCTGCTAGGCCACAATGCCGGACCCTTAAAAAGTTTAAATTCTAAGGGTCCCTGCCAAGGGGAAGATTTGGAGACTGAACCAGCAGGTGGGATTTTTGTCAGCAAGTCCGGGAAAATATAAGGACATTATTTTTCCGTGGACAATGCTCAGGACTAACACTGGATGGTGCGGCCGGATGGCGTCTGCTGAGTCTAGGGCCCACGCACACCCCGCTGCCAGGTGCCCACCCTGCATCCCCATTCCAGGGACCGTCACCCCGAGCCCGGCCTACCGTGTACAGCGTCAGGTCCACATGTCGCCACAGCCGCCGGTCATCCACCAGCCTCTTCCAGCGGCGACACACCCTGGGGAGGGACACGCCATTAGGGGCCCTCCGCAGCCACCGCACACACCCCAGATCCCCACAACACCACACTCCTGAGCCCCCACACCCCTAGACCCCACACCACACACACCTGGACTCCTGGATCCCCTCAGCCCGCACTCCTGGTCCTCCACAGCCCGGACTCCCACAACCCCACACTCCTGGTCCCCCACAACCCCACACTCCTGGTCCCCCACAATCCGGACTCCCACAACCCCACACTCCTGGTCCCCCACAGTCCGGACTCCCACAACCCCACACTCCTGGTCCCCCACAACCCCACACTCCTGGTCCCCCACAACCCCACACTCCTGGTCTCCCACAACCCCACACTCCTGGTCCCCCACAACCCCACACTCCTGGTCCCCCACAACCCCACACTCCTGGTCCCCCACAACCCCACACTCCTGGTCTCCCACAACCCCACACTCCTGGTCCTCCACAGCCCGGCCCCACACCCTCACACCCGGACTCCCAGACCCCCAGACCTCACGCCCACACCGCACAGCCCGGGCCCCCCACCCTCACACCCGGACTCCCACAACCCCACACTCCTGGTCCCCCACAGCCCGGCCCCCACACCCTCACACCCGGACTCCCACAACCCCACACTCCTGGTCCCCCACAGCCCGGACTCCCACAACCCCACACTCCTGGTCCTCCACAGCCCGGGCCCCACACCCTCACACCCGGACTCCCAGACCCCCAGACCTCACGCCCACACCGCACAGCCCGGGCCCCACATCCACGGGCCGCACCTGGAGCTGCGGATCCGGTCCCGGACCGAGAGGTAAGAAAAGATTTCCAAGTACACGGAATCCGGCAGGTCGGCCGGGGTCGCCATGATCCCCCTCCCACTGCCCAGTCGACACGCAGTTCCGCTTCCGGCTACAGCTGCGGAGTGGGGGAGGCCGGGAAGTCCCGCTTGCCCGTGCCGGGTCCGGGGTCGTCCTGGGGTCGCGGGGTCAGGACAACTAACTCCACTCGGAGACGGATCCCGAGGACCCGAGGCCCTGGCGCGACTCGAGGTGCAGGGCCGGCTGGGAGGGCGTGGCCTGAGAAGCGAGCAGGGGGCGGGGCCAAGCGGCGGACACAGCGTGGAGGGCGAGGCCTGGGTGACCGGCGGGGCGGAGCCAAGCCGCCGTGCACCCCTCTGGGGGCGTAGTCTAGGTCACAGGCGGCCCAAAGCCGGAGCAAGCCTGGAGGGCGTGGCCCGGGGGCGGGGTCATGCCGCACACCACCTCTTGGGGCGTGGCCGAACATCAGCGCACCCTCCCGGGGGCGTGGTCTGGGTGATGGGTGGGGCCAAGCCGCCGCACACCCCTCGCGGGGGCGTGGTCAGGCCGCGGCGCGCCGCCGGGGGCGTGGTCTTGGTGACAGGCAGCCCGGGGGCGGGGTTAGGGCAGAGCAGGCACGCGAAGCGCAGAAAGGTGACCAAGGTTGGAGCCAGGAGACTCGGGAGGACGAAGCCAGCATGGACGGGCCGGGGGAGTAACCACAAGAACAAAAAACGAACAGGGGATGAGCTCCATAATCATCGGATGCAAGATCTTTCTCTCTGTATATCTGACATTGCAATAAAAATAAATCCTTTTTAAAAAACACTAAGTGCTTTTTGGTAATTGTACAAGAGGATAAATTTGTGTAACTGATGATACAGGACGTACTGAATACTTTCTACTGGTTGACACTGTCGGGGCTATTGTACGGTAACAGTCAAACCAGCTGCCTAAAGTGCTGGCTCCCATATGGACGCCAGCTCGATTCCTGACTGTTCTGCTTCAGGGCCAGCCAGCTCTCTGCTCAACGCCTGGCAAAGAGCTGAGCGTGGCGCAAGGGCTTAGGTGTGTCCACACAAGCTCCTAAGCTAGCAGGCTCTGGGCTCTGGAGCCACCTGGGAAATGATTCAGCAGTTGCGATCTCATTTGGAATGTGCCTCTCTGTAACTATGACTTAAAATACTTGTAAAATATGTTTTTGGGCCTGGTGTGATGGCTAAATCCTCAGGCTCATAGGGATCTCATAGCGGCAATGGTTTATATCTTGGCTGCCCCACTTCCCACCCAGCTCCCTGCCTGTGGCCTGGGAAAGCAATGGAGGACGGCCCACAGCCTTGGGACCCTGCACCCGTGTGGGAGACCCAGGAGAGGCTCCAGGTTCTTGGCTTTGGAACAGCTCAGCTCAAGCCAGCATGGCCACTTGGGAAGATCTTTCCGTATCTCCTTCCCTTTCCATATCTGCTTTTCCAGTGGAAATGAATAAATCTTTTATACACACACACACAAGACAGTTACAGTGAGGAGACACAGAAATATGTTTTTAAAAGATTTTTACTGGGGCCCGGCGCGATGGCGCAGTGGTTAAGGTCCTTGCCTTGCACACCCGGGCATATGGACGCCGGTTTTGATCCTGACAGCCCCGCTTCCCATCCAGCTCCCTGCGTGTTCCCCAGGAAAGCAGTCAAGGATGAGGAGCAGTCCAAGGCTTTGGGACCCTGCACCCGCATGGGAGACATGGAAGAGGCTCCTGGCTTCGGATTGGCTCTGTTCCAGCCGTTGCGGCCGCCTGGGGAGTGAATCATCGGACAGAAGATCTTCCTCTCTGTCTCTCCTCCTCTCTGTATATCCGCCTTTCCAATAAAAATAAAAGCCTGACCATCTCCTTGCACTGCAACACGAACACAGCACTGCATGCCTGCTCGGTTGAGCTCGGCTGGGCTCAGCTGTGCTCCATTGTGCTCGGCAGAGGGGGTGGTGAAGGTGCTGGGAATATAGACGTCTCAGAATGCACCTCGAGAGACAAGGGGATGGTGTCTATTGTCCCAGAGCGCCCGTTCGAAGGCTACCTAGTGGAACATCTTTTCTCAAAATGCCTCATCACTCCAGCGGCAAGAGTATTTAAGTGGCCCGACGTGGGACTACAACTTCCAGAGAGCCCATGGGCACGCACTGACGTGGGACTGCAACTCCCAGAGGGCCCATGGGCACGCACTGACGTGGGACTCAAACTCCCACAGTGCCCTGAGCGTGCTGACGTAGGACCCCAGCTCCCACAATGCCCTGAGCATGCTGACGTGGGACTGCAACTCCCAGAGGGCCCATGGGCACGCAGACTGACGTGGGATTGCAACTCCCACAGAGCCCTGAGCACGCAGACTGACGTGGGACTGCAACTCCCACAGAGCCCTGAGAGTGCTGACGTAGGACCCCAGCTCCCACAATGCCCTGAGCATGCTGACATTGGACTGCAACTCCCAGAGGGCCCATGGGCACACAGACTGACGTGGGACTGCAACTCCCACAGAGCCCTGAGCATGCAGACTGACATGGGACTGCAACTCCCACAGAGCCCTGAGCACGCACACTGATGTGGGACTGCAACTCCCAGAGTTCTTTGGGTGTCCTGAAGGAGTATCTTGCTGGTGAAGGCACCCTGACACTTTGACCACAGAGGCCCGGGCTCATGCTAGGCACCAAGCGTCCCACACCCCCTCCTGGGCCTTGATATGCGGGCCGTTCGGCCTTGGACCCCTGGTCTTTTAATGACACGTGTCCGGGAGCACTGCCCGGGACCCCCACCTGACACTGGGGCGGCTCAGGGCTGGGCTGTCTAGCACTCAGAAGGCCCGAGCCCACCCGAGATACAAAGGGCAGCTTTGCGCGCCCTCTCGTGGCCAATAGCACTCACTGCAGGACGCTCCTCCTGCCAGATCAAGGGAAGCAGACCCAGCCCAGAGAGGCATTCTCTCTCAAAACCCTCTTTTCAGAGGTTGCACAGGAGTTCCATGACAGAGGCCTTACGCACGCCCTCGGGGTCTGCATTCGCACGGAAAAAAGCAATCTAGAGCCACAGCACAGCACATCACAGCACAGGACACAGCACACTCCCTCCCAGGAGCCCAGCAGCTTTCTGTCTCTTCCTGCCTGCCTACCTGCCAGCCTACCTCTGTCCTATTTGCTTTGAAGCACAGAGCAACAAGACAGGGAGAGGCAGCAATCTTTCTTTTTTTGACTATCTTTGCATAGTTAGTTTGGGTAAATAGGGTCAAGGGTTACAGGAAAGTGGGTAAGACTATTATTTCCATATTGTTTCCTTCATGTATCTGAGGTAAAGGGGGATATTGAGGGAGAAGCCCCACCCAGTTTCCCACCCACCCCAAGTCCTGCATGTGGGGCATGCTCTGAGATATTCGCTCAAGAGGTTTCAATAGCTCACCAGTTATGAATCGCTGCCAATCTCGCCCCTCCAAACACGATGAGGTCGTTGAAAAATCCACTGATTGACATTGTCCATCATAGCGTCTCTATTTGCCCGGTATTTTGTTGCCAACCTATAGCTGAGGTGGTTGATTAACTTGTTCCATCTTCTGTCCTTTCATGGTTAGGGTTCTGAGTCTGGCATTTCAATTGGGGAGATCGCCAAAGAAACTTCGTCTGGGGTGTTCCCAGGCCAGATTCTTGTATGCACCAGCAAGTACAGGGTCCGGCACAGTCCATCACCCTGATCAGCTGGTGGTTGCAATTGCTGGGTTGGTTCTGTTTTCAGCCCTGCTTTCCACTGGAACCAATGGGTGTCGCAGTCCAGACTGGTTCTGCACAGCGCATACTTGGCCCTCACATAAACCCGTGGGAGCTGCAGCCTGGTGAGAGCGACCCGCAATAACCCCCACCAGGCCTGCCCCCTACCCTGGTTTGCCAGTATGTGTAGCAGACCAGTGTAGTCTGTCCCACATCCCCCTTGGCTCTCGTACACGGCAAATGGCATTGAAGCTTAGATCCATCGAAGCAGCTCAACAACCAAGCCCTCACGGGTGTCAATGAGTGCCTCTCTGTCTAGCCACCCCAACCCCTGTCCTAGTTTTTGTGCCAACCCGTGGAAGTCGTAACCCAAGAGGGGGGGAACCCACTATTTCCCTCCCAGGTCTCTCACTCCTGGATTGTGCACTTTCCAGGTGGTTATGCAGTTTAATTGGCAGCAATCTTTCTTGCATCTGCGGGCTCACTTCCCCAGGGACCACCACCAGAGCCAGCAGTGGCTGGGCCAGGACAAGCCTGGGAATCAGGAGCTTCCTCCAGATCTCCCACAGGAGCACAGGGGCACAAGCCCCTGCACCATCCTCTGCTGCTCTCCCAGGAGTACCAGCAGGGAGCTGGACCGCAGGGGAAGCAGCCAGGCTTTAAAATAGCACCCATACAGACCATCCGCCTGGCAGGCTGAGGCTTGACCCACTGGGACAACACCCCACACCACCCCACAGCACCCGACTCCACCCCTTGCTGGTTTCTTCAGCAGCTCCTTCACCAGGCTGATGAGGGTGCCTGTCCCCCTGGCTTGCACAACTTATGCCGTTGCGTGCTGTGAGAGCAGCCGGTACAAAGGAGGGATCCAGGCATGTTGCTACTCTACCTGTCCTGGTGAGAAGGAACTCTGTGGAGAACACACATCAGCCGTTGGGTGTCTTGTGGCAGGTGGCACATCAGCGGTGGCCGATGGTCCACGGCTGGCCTGCAGGAGAAAGAGTCTTGAGTCCGGGATGGCCCTGGTGGAGGGTGAAGCGTTCCCTGGTGAACGAGAGGGCAGCAGCATCTGGCTGGAGGCCGTGGGGCCAAATTCCTGCCTCAAATGCACACGACAGGGATGCCTAAGCCCTCGAGTGTTTTCTAGGAGCCCCTGACAAAGGGAAAGGGGTCCTCATGAGCCCATGCCCAGAGATGGCATGGGAGGCCATGCTGGACACCCATGCCACCGAGGTTGTGGCAAGAGGAGGCTTGTGGGCCCTCATGGACACACACACACACATACACATACACACACAGGCCCTGTAGGAGAGAAAGACAGTGGGCAGGCAGGCAGGCAGGAGGGCAGGGACAGACTCCAGCACCTGGGAAAGGGGGTCATGAGCACTGACACACGAAGAGCAAGCAAGCAAGCAGGCCATTGTGGGGAGGCCGCGGCCATCCACGTGGGCTTGAGCTGTCGAGCGACCAGGTAGGAAAGTGTCTTGTGAAAATGGGTGTGGA